CACGTTTCAATTTTCGTATATCAAACATTTTTAGCTATTGTTGATATTAAAAAAAAATTATATATATACATTACGAACATAATTTTCTAACCCCTAACAAATGATTATTGATTTGGCGTATTTATGATTTTGAGAATTATATTCTTATTAGAAACTTGAAATATATGATGAAGTTCCTAGAAACTTTTAATATGTGTATTGATGTACAATAAATAGAATAAATTTTAAAAATAGGAAAACGTCTTATTATGCTTAGGCTCGTAATGTTTGAGACTCAATTCCCACATCTTGTCATGCTTTACGTCTTTTAGAATCTTAATACTGATTGTAGGACATGCAAAGCCTCAATTTTTGAATGATGCAATGCAACAAGCATGACTCATGTACCATTTGTCACAAAAATCGACCAAAATATGTTAGGAAATTAATAGAATAAAAATGATAGAAAATTTTCGAATTTAACTTAGACTTTATTTGGTGTAGCTAAATATCAAAATTTTAATATATTAAAAGATGCGGGTCTTATCAGATGTGTGGTTAAAATTAATTATTGACTTCACATCAAACAAGAGCTTATTATGCCCCTATTTGTCACCCATTATTTGATAAATTAAAGAGTTTTAAATAGTATTTTTTTGAAGAATGTACGATTAAAAAATAAAGAAACTTTTATTGATTTGTGTACAGAGTATTTTATTGTATGAATGTGTGATAGAAAATGATACTGTAATAAACAATTTAAGACTTTAAAAGCGGCCAAACAAACATTATATTAACCTACATTGGAGTTAGGAGTGAACTTGAGCAAAAGTTTTTAAATACAATGTACCCATTCAAATCACCCAATTTAATCAAGAAATTAGTCTATGTAAGTGCATATTTGGCTAAGCTCATAGGATGCTTTTTATACATTATGTTTGAAAAAAAATAGCTTTCTTATGAATTCGGAAAACCGTAAATTATGTGGACCAAAATAGACACAACTGCAAATCTCGCAGCTTATACGGCAAATAAATTGAGAAATGAAGTTATGTTTACTGTTAAGAGTTGGGGGCGCGTGGTGGGGGAGCTTCTCATAAACTCGTTCTTTAGCCAAACACACTGTTAAACGTTTAGTTCCTATTGTAGTTGTTGAATGCTAACGCAGTAAATCAGAAGGTAAACCAATAAATTATTATTAAATTAATAAAAGCCGGGCCGAATCTGCATATCTTCTTTAAGTGGGCCACCTCACTATAAAGTATAAACAATAGAGGAAGCTAGGTGTCTGTGAATAAAATGACAACACAAGTCCTCAACGTTTGATGTGTGTGGCACCTTGATCTTCAACATTAAAAAAGATGCATTTAATTCCTCGACCTTTCAATTTTTCTTACCTAGATGGACGATTTTACTCTGCCCTTGTTCCATTATAGATTAAAATCTGATTTTAATTTCAAATTAAACTTAAGAATTAATTTTATCTACATAATTTATTAGATTCTTAATTTTTCAATCATATACTTCATCAACTTTTACAAAAAATTTATTAAAAATCTGATTTAATCACACCAAAAAGGATTTTATCTTTAAAACCCTTTATGATAGGAAAGATAAAAATGGAATATAATATAAAGGAATTTAATGGGGGCCAAACGGGAGCTAATTCTATTAAATGTCACTTAATTTGATTTATTATTATACTTATGTCTTGATTATTTTTATTATATTTCATTTTTAATGTCCAAAAGTTATGTTAAGAGAACGTAAAAAGGCTTATTTATCTATCATATTTTTAAATAAACAAAATTATATAAAATTACAAGCGTGCCACTAAATTTTTGTCCTCTTTATTATGCACGTTAACATAGTTTTTAATTGAAAACTGCCATCGTCAACTATATGTGTTAATTAATGGAAGATTAATTATTAGAATGCAATTAAAAAAAAAAATTGAGGGAAGGAGTGTAATGTTAAGTGCTTGTTTGACAATCATTAATTTATTTTATAGTTTGTTAGGGACCATTTTCAACCACACACGCACATCATAAAAATATTCTACACGTATAACAAAAATTTTTCCTTACTTTTTAACTACGTTATATTACTATTCAAAACTCTATTTTTTAAAATGGTTTTACTACATATATATCAAATTTTACATAATGAGTTACATAATGCCACATATCATTATTTCATTTATCAGTTTAAAATACGATCAATTTTTCATCTAATTTTTTTCATTCACGTCATTTTATGTAATCCTTTATATATCATTTTTATATATAAGTAGCATAATCATTTCTATAATAATAGTTGTCAAATAGGCTCAAGGTAATATTAGAAATCTCATATGCAATCAAAACGTGTTGCATTTTCAAAAAAAGTGTGTGCATATATTTACCCTATTTTTGTTTCTTGTAAAGCATGGACACTTTTATTAGGATAACATGTTTATATTTAACAAATGACATGTCGTGTCAGTCTGTCAGATACAAATAGTCCTAAGACATGTATCCAATAAGTCAGGCACATGTACGAGTGCATTTGTTTTCTATTTTTTTAAAAATGAGAATAAAAAATATAATTGTTATGGGCCTTATATAAGAGATAAAAATTCAAATTTAGTAGCCTAATGTAATGAATAATTGTCATATTTTTCATTTTAATAAGAAAATAATGACAAACAAACAGGGGCAAACTTTCGACACTTGAATGCACTTGTAGGTCAAGGAGCGGTTGCTTTCTCTTGCCTTCCTAGGACTTGTTTGGGAGCGATTTTTTCTCCTAAAAAATTGATTTTTTTATCGTTATTTCACTATTTCAGCCGTCATATTTGACTTCTTCTCTCACAGGTGGACCCCACTTTTCTCCTAACGGTCAAAAAATCAATTCTCAAAATCACTCCCAAACAGGTTCCTAATTTTTTTTTAGAGCCATTTTCATTATCTTTTTTTGATTATAGATCAAGATGAATTTATATCTATCTAAGTATATTTAGATAGATATCTATCAGACCGCGACTTCATTTACCAAACTGAAGAATTTCTTATGTCAGAAGAACAAGTTCTTTCTTTGACCTATCCAGACAAATAATTTGTAGTGTACATATATTATTTCTCTAGACATATAAAGTATTCAAAAATTCAAAATCAATCAACACCAAAATTTTGAAATGGAGCCTGATAAGGGATTTTCACTTGGGTAGACAAATATTTTCGTTCAACAGTAAAATATATAATAAGGAGAATCTATTAAGAAAATAATATTAATTAAAAATATAGACTAATAAAATAACAATAAATTAAAAGTATCAAGAAAATTTAACAAGTGATCTGTAACGTTATATTTCTTTTTGAATGAAAGCTACTGTTACTGGTGTATATCTCTTAATCTATTCATTTTTCATTAATAGCTTTGCATACTTATAGTTAATTAGTTGCAAAAAGGAAGATAAAACATCGAGTAACCATTCGAGACTAGTTTTGAAAACAATAAAAAAAAAAAAAAAAAAAATGGAACATAGAGCCTGTTTGAAAGTGATTTTTTCTTCCAAAAAATTGATTTTTTGACCTTTATTTCACTATTTCAGCCATCATATTTGACTTATTCTCTTATAGGTGGACTCCACTTTTCTCCTAACGGTCAAAAAATCAATTATCAAAATCAATTCCAAACAAGCTCATAACAATCGGAAGATTTGACCAGTTTTATATTTGACAATGTGAACAAATTCTAAAAATTATTGAAAATAAATATTTTCCTTTAATTGATAATTTTTATGTAAAACAAAGCCAAACGAACACCAAAAGATAGATGATTTTCTTAAAAAAATTTGTTTTTTTTTACAATGGAAACAAATTTCATTTCAAATACGGGTAAATTCTATCCCTTTAATTGACAATTTTCATGTAAAATAAAGTCAAATGGATATAAAAAACACTTTAATTTAAACATTTTTCATGTAAAAAATTATACCAATCAAACACAATAATTTACAATTCTCAGGAAAACAATTTACATCAATTCAATTTCCTGAAATTCGCTTTCTTTCCACTCAAATTCCACCTTTACAACCAAACAGACCCTTAATGTCAAATAATGTAAGACCAAGCAAGAGAATTTACTGAGAGTTGAAATTTGGAGACGAGGAATTAAGGATGACTAAACAAGCAAAGACTATTAAGCCTGTGTTTGCCATCCTTTATTTTTCATTTTTTTTTACAGTACTTATTTTTAATCATACATTTTTTATTAAAATAATATTATACGCAAATCAAAAATCTTTCCCTCACACATTTTCCATCAATCATTATTCCACAATATATTTCTTCAAATTAATGGGGGCTCAAATAGGGCCTAAATAAGAGTTGAAAGATCCAAAAAAAGAAGAAGAAGAAGCAGCAACAGCACATAAAGAAAATGAAGAGAAATCGAAGGGACGCCCTAAAACGAAAAAAAGAAAAGTCACGAATGTACTAAAAACCTTTTTGTGCTTTGAAGAATATAATTTTTTTTAAAATTTTCTTTACTATCTATAAATATAATAGATTTAGTTATTGTTTGGGCACTTTTCTCTATTTTATTTTCAGTCACACATTATTTAGTAAAATAATATTACACGTAAATCTAAATATATATTTTTTTCTAATTATATATTCTTTAAAAAATTATTATTTCAAAATACATTAAATTTTTTCCTAAATTTGATTTCAATAAAAACCAAACAAGGGCTTAATAAATTTTTTTATGGGGCCACCTCAAGGCATGACCTTAGACGCTCGTCTACCCCGTCTATAGTTAGAACGCCTGCTCTGAGGAAAAGTAAAAATCATTATTTTCTAACAACATTTCGATTAGTTATTTTCTATTCAAAACTCTTTGCTACCTATACTGAAAAGTTGAAGACGCGAACGTTCTATTTTAAATGTCTGGGACCAAAGTACAATACATTCATAGGTTGTAGACCTTTTTTTCTATCTTCCCCGGCAGAATATTGAAAGCACGAAGAATCTGTTTGAATAATGGTGTGGAGAGAGAGAGAGAGATGAGAGAGAGACAGTAGACTTTTGTAATATTTTCTTCCATCCTAACCACCGAATTTCGCTGGAAATCTATTGTCCTCTTTAGGGTTTTCTTGTTTCTTTTCGCAGAAGAAAAAAATAAATAAATTTGACGTTATAACAACTGAAATCTTTTAAAAAGGGTAGTGTTTGTAGTCTATATTAGTTAATCTACAGAGGGATTAGAGCGCTTCATTCTTTAGGTACATTTATTTTAGCACATTATTGAAAGTTGAAATTTTTTTTGTGTTTGTTGAGTTTCATTTCTTGAGTTCTAGTTCCCTATTGAAGTTTCTTCTTTTATCTTTTTATTTAGCTATTTAATAGTTTATAATAAAGTTGTTTCTGTATTTTCTGCTTTTGCGTACATACTCATTGTTATAATATTTGAATTCCCTTTGGTAGATGAACTAATCTGAAATGATTTCTTCTTATTTTTAGGAAGTTACCCTTGAGTTTTTACTTTTACTCCCTAAATGGACTCTGGAGTTATAAATTTTGATTTGGAATCATGTACTTTAATGCTAAAGTTTAATTTTGTCTAGATAAATATTGAATTTCTAAATTCTTAATGAGATGATAACACTGTAAATATGGATCCTTGTAGCGTGCTTAATTATGCTTACAATTATTTGGGTTTTATGATATATAACCTTTCTTCGTTTTGTTCGATAACAGGAGATATCTGAGGTAGTTGATTTATGTCATTCCTGATAATTGCTGTAGATACTGTTGACAAGTTTTTGAGACTCAATTGAGTGAAAAATGTTGGTGGAGCTTGGTGGAAGTTGGAGTCTTCATTTCTGAAAAATTATTGGTATAAATGCTAGGATCCTAGGTTGGGCAGCAAGGGCCGGAGAAGGTCTAAATCCTCTCGACTCATCCCATAGCAATCAGTTCTAAGTAATGGGTTCCTTTTCTGGCAGCTCTGAAATTGTTGAAATGAAGGAAGAACAGATTCCTACTCGTGGACGTCAAACATTTTCTCATGTAGGAGCATACGACAGAGATAGGAAGCCTCCAATTCAGAATAAAGGACGTAATAAATCTCTGGGAAATGATATTACTACACTCTTTGAGGGAATCAATCTCAGGTCATCCAAGAGTCTGGATCTCTTGGACTCGGGAAGAAATCCCTCAAAGAGGCCAATGAGGGCTGGCGGATCTCATTCACCAGCAATTAGATTTTCTCAGCCAGTGTCTCTGAAGCAGGCGCTAAGGGGGCTCTGCATTTCTCAGGCAGCGGAGATGGCTGCCATGAAACGGATATCAGCACCAGCTTCTCCTAGGATCTCAGAAGTCGGGATGATCACAAACCTGTACAGGTCTGTTGTAATTGAAGCTGGGGAATCTGGCTTTTCTGTGGCTGAAGGCGGACAGCAGGGACTTGAAATTTCTCAGGTGCCAGAAGAAGGTACCTCATGTTATTTGGAAAAGGCTCCACAGTTCCTTCAGAAACCTGTGGCTAAGTTCCCAACCCAAAGTGTCCATTCTTCTCATAGTTTTGGGGTTAAACCGAACATAAAGAGTGCAGAATGCACTTTGGGTGAATCTGACCGATCACTTACTGACTGTAGGGAAAATAAAGTTGGAACATCTCTTGGGAACAGAGAGACTGCTACATTTTCTGCCAAGAAACTGCCTCAGCACTTATTGGAGCCTGAGATGAAGCCACAAAATCAGAGGGCTGATTCTTCTCTGTATTTTCCTGGTGCATCGGTCATTGAGACTGTACAATCTTCTTATGGCCATCATGACATTCGGCCAGCATCAGAAGCTGAGGATCAATCACTAGAAACAGCACCCTTGCCTGAAGAAAGCCACACTATAGTTTCTGCTTTATCCAGTAATGGTGTTGGTGATATTGCGTTGAAACCAAACTATAATATTTCTGACCTGGAAAAGGTAGCAATTGGTTTAAATAAAAATTCAGCATCACCCTTAAAAGTTCCAAATAAAGCAGCATCTAAGCTTAGACACAAAGGCAGGTTGCAGACCGTACCTTCATCTAGTCCTGGGAAAAGCAATAAGGACATCAAGTCAACAAGAACCACCTCTCGGGTTGTCAAACCAGTCATCAGGAACAAGAATCTCATCATAAAGAAATCAAAGAAGATGCCTGTATCAACCACTGAAGATTCTAGTACACCTCATGAAGTAAATAGTGGTATTGATCAACGATCTGGCCAGTTGATCTGTCAAAGGTGTCAATGTGCTTTGATAGATGCAACAGACGATTCTAACAAGGATTCCCATGTAATAACCAATGCTAAAGTGAATACAAGCGAGAAGAACTTTGATACGAGCAAACAAGACTTCATTCCAAATGATTGTGATAATAAAGGCACTCCTATAGAAACTAACACAATCTCTAAATCGAGAGAGAGAGGAGATTTTTCTCGAAGCTCAAAGAGCAGCATTTGTGAGTTTAGTAGCAGCACTACAAGCCTCAGTGAAGAGAGCAGTCTAAGTGGGTCGAGTTGCAGCAGTAGACCGCACATGTCAAAGGACTTAAGGTGGGCATCCATTAACCGCTTAAAAACTCAATATGGATTCCTTGGCCTGAGTCATTTTAATTTGTTGAAGAAACTTGGTTCTGGGGACATTGGTACAGTTTACCTTGCTGAATTGATTGGAACAAAATGCATGTTTGCAATAAAGGTTATGGATAATGAATTCTTGGCAAAAAGAAAGAAGATGCCTAGGGCTCAAACTGAGAGAGAAATTCTGAGAATGCTGGACCATCCATTTCTCCCGACATTATATTCCCAGTTTACTTCAAACAATTTGTCTTGTTTAGTTATGGAGTATTGTCCTGGTGGAGATCTACATGTGCTTCGCCAGACGCAGCCTGACAGATATTTTTCCGAAGAGGCAGCAAGGTGCAGTATAATTTCAAGGCCCAACTCTAGCACCTTGCATTATTTGTCTGCAAAAATTCAGTCATCAATGATATTAGTATTGAAAGTGCCAATCATGTCTGTTAGTTTAATAATAAATCAATAAGACAGTACAAAGCCAAGAAATACGAAGCAAAGTTTAAAATTTTTATGGAAGTTGTTAAAACTGCTTTCAGTAGATTTTATAGACTTTATAGACATAGGAATTGGAACTTTAAATTGATCTGATTTATTATATTGCGAGTTGGCGGATAAATTGCGGATATAATCTTACTTATATATATTACATTCTTAGTTTAACTTGGGTATAATCGCAAATTGTTGTCTGATGAGAGTACTATGTCATTGGGGTTCGTTGTGTACTTAATACTGTTGGAAGCCTACGTGCTTTGACTTTCACATTGTAAAACTCAGATAATAAACATTCACTTTTGGGGAATTCTTATAATTTCCAACTTAATATTGGAATCCTATAAACTCTAGATTTCTATCTGGGGAGCTCGAAAAAAGGAAGAAAAGAGAATCTTGTAGCAGTCTGCTTATAGGTATTACATATGAACCCTTTGATGTATAACATAAAAATCATTGTAAGGAGGGAAAGACTAGGATATTATTTGAATATCTTTAACTACTTCATTATTCTTCTGTTAGCTTTTGTATTACTATTCTTTTAATGCCTGATACTTGCAGATTCTATGTTGCTGAGGTTCTCCTTGCTCTTGAATATTTGCACATGCTTGGTATTGTGTATCGAGATCTCAAACCAGAAAACATTATGGTCCGAGAAGATGGTCACATCATGCTAACTGATTTTGATCTGTCACTTAGATGTTCTGTAAGCCCAACCCTTCTAAGATCATCTTCATCAAGAATGGAGCCACCTAGGATATCTGGACCTTGTGCAGGATCTAACTGCATTGATCCTTTCTGTTCTGGACCATCATGCCAGGTTTCGTGCTTTAGCCCTCGACTTTTACCTGCAACAGCAAGAGCAAGGAAGCTAAAAGCTGAAGCTTCTGCTCGGGTTAGATCCTTACCTCAGCTTGTGGCTGAGCCAACAGATGCTAGGTCCAATTCCTTTGTCGGTACACATGAATACTTGGCTCCAGAGATCATCAAAGGAGAAGGACATGGGAGTGCCGTTGATTGGTGGACATTTGGGATTTTCCTGTACGAGCTTCTTTATGGGAAGACACCTTTTAAAGGTGCTGGAAATGAAGAGACATTAGCAAATGTTGTATTTCAGAACCTCAAATTTCCCGATGGTCCAATTGTTAGTTTTCAGGCAAGGGATCTCATCAGAGGTCTGTTGATGAAGGAACCTGAGAATCGGTTAGGCACGGAAACAGGAGCTGCCGAGATCAAACAGCACCCATTCTTTCAGGGTCTCAATTGGGCTTTGATACGCTGTGCCATTCCACCTCAAATTCCACAGTTCTTTGATGATGGAATTTCACATATAGCATCTCTAGAGAAGGGGAAAAAATTTCTGGAATTCAGTGATGCAGGAAAGCATTTAGAATTTGAGTTTTTCTAGCCACAATATATTTATCGGAAAAAGACTCTGTCCCAAAGAGGTATTCCTTAATCCTCCCGCTGTCTTGTATTAGAATGTCCTGCTTATGATGTTATATTGTTGGAGATATTGCGGAAAGTTTGTCCTATGAGTTATGACACCAGGAATTTACTTGATCGTTACAATTCAATAAGTAAATATTTCTCTCTGCGCTAATGCATGGCTTAGTTTATGGTAGAAAAACATGCTTTGCATGCACGACTTGACAGTATAACAAAATATTAGCTTTCCCCTAGTCGAGTACTTATTCAATCCGTTCTATCAAATGCGAATTGCAGGTTGGTTATAATCTAGGAATTGCATGTTTTCATCTATTTAGACAACGCTGGCCCACCGCAACCGAAGAACTGATAATCGAGACGATAAAGACAGGGGCAGACCTTGGGGTTGGGGGGGCGGGGGTTTACAAGGTCAAGTGACCCTCTAGATTTTGAAAAAAATAAATAAATAAAATAAAATAAAAAATTGTTTAGCATTTTTTTTTTTTTAATTAGAAGGTACCCTATAAATTTTATTTGTGATCCCCTAACCCGGATAAAGATTAAGATTGGAACAAAGATGATCATATAAGTAGGGAAAATGATGTATCATATGTTGTCATGAACGGTGACCCTGCATTATTATGACCTAACTATAAACACACCTTTTCATTCTGAGTCCCTTGAACTATTATATAAATCTACCAACGGAGGCAAGAAATGAATTAATTTGGCTGCGTCACCCGTTGCAGCCTATTGTGCACCACCACTTTTTCTGCAGCTCTCTAAATAATACCACCACAAGAACCATCCGTAGAACTGAAAATTCCTTTTTCTTTCCTGCTAGTTTTTCTCTGAAACTTGTGTTGAAGAATTGAGTTTGCATATGAATTCGAAAGGGGAACCAGGAAGATAAACGAGTGGGATCTTGATGAAGGAAAGGTATAATCACGTACGAAGAAGACTGCAGGAAAAATCACACAGTAAGTATAGGGAAATATGCAATCAATGGATGCTTTGAATTCATGCCGGCTGGAAAAGAAGGAAGCCATGGAGCTTTCTCACGTGTGCTGCATGCACCCATCATAGGAATTTCCATTGAAAGGTGGTGCGCCAAATTCAAGCTTACTGTGATTACTCCTCCAAACCCTAAACTCCAAAGTAAAATTTAACAATTGTAGCTAGATAGCTAGCTAATATTTGGTCTTTGGAATTGGAAACCGATCCATCTCGTTGATGAATCTTCAATATTTGTGTCGTGCATGAAAAGAAACTGTAGAAGAAATGGTTATAAATTACATGAATGCTATCACTTATTAGATTACTTACCAGTTTTCTTTGATTTCAAATTATTTGTTATACCTATTATCGAGATACTATGTTTGATCTCGTAATTAAATTTTCATATGACATTGTTCGTTGAAGTTAAGCTTTCATCCTAATAATATTTTTCAACTATCAACATGATATCTCGAAGCTTTCTTCGATAATGCTAAATGCACAGTCCATCCTTTACATTCTTTTTTATATTGCCTTTGTTTTTTAAAAAATGTGGACCAGAAAATCGTTTTTATTTTTAAACTATCCAATGGTGTTATACCATGTGACACAATATAAAGAAAAATATAAAAAATGATGTATATGTTGTACGATTAAACTTTCTTTCTATCGTTATTGTTTTGTCTTTGTCGAATATTTAAAAATATTCAAGATTAGTGCGGTCCATAAGTTCAACCTCTTTGAACCTTAATTTATTTAAAGTTATGAATGCTGTTTTTTAGATATAACTCGTTGCCATGACCTCTTTATTTCTACCTATGACTGATGACTCTTAAGACCCTATCAAAAAGATTATTCAAATCTAAGACCTAAATAGTAAATACGATACACGTTTTACATGTTTGAATAGGATTGAAAAAAAAAAAAAAAAAGGAAAAAAAGGAAAAAGCACACTGTTTTCCTCTATTCCCTTGGAGGGTTCCTTTTGAATTTGCTCGCCCACGATTGCTTGAATTTTGTTAAACTTTTGAGGCTCATACAATTTGCCCATGATTGGTTTAGTTAAAAATAAGTTTTTAAATATATTTTGATTTAAAAAAAAGGATAAAATGTATGGTTGAAAAATTAATAAGAGTTGTCGACCTTAAGAAATATTATTTTTATTAATTTTTTAGTTAAACCAAGCACGGGCGTAATTTTGACACAAATTTTGATGTCTTGTATAGCATAAAATGTGACATGCAATATAAAAATGGTAATTAGCATAATATACTCGTAACTTGTTTTGTTTTGTGGAATACTCCATAATCTTTCATTTTGATGAAACCCCCCTAAATCACCTAGACGTTGCAAAGAATCCCCTTGTCATCTACATCTGATAATTTCTCCATTAGAAGGGATTTTGAAGGGAGAAATACATAAAAATAGCCTAAGAAAAGGGCTACTTTTCCATTTTAGCCTTAAACTAATTCAAGTATCTAAAATACCCTTATATAAATATTATACATAAGTCTTTATTTTATAGAAACTTTCCATTCAAGTACTTAAAATTTTTAAAGAATTTAGTCTCTAATTAAAGAGTTAAAGATTTTAGTAGATTTATAGATTTATTTGATTTTTGTTCGCTCAAAGTAGCACCCCCTAATTGGTATTAGAGTCATAGAAATCATGGAAATTAAAATAAGAAAAATAAATAATTATTGGCACTTAGAAGAAGAAAAAGGAAGTTATATATATTTAGAACCTATTCCTAATAAATTAAAAATAATGACATTAACAATAATTAAAGAATTACCCAAAGAAATAAAAGAACAAATATTAGAAAAATTAATAATAGGGTCAATAAAAGATATATATATTTATGAAAAAATTAAGTATGTGAAGATGAAGAAATTAATATATATATTAAAGAAAAGTATGAGTGTAAATGATAATACAGATTTAAAATTGAATAAATTAATTGCAAATATTAATAAGATACAAGAAAAAATATAAGATATAATATTAATACCAGATGAAATAAAAGTAAAAGAAAAACAATTAATAAAATTAAAGTGTGAAAAATTAAGAATACAGAGTGAATGTTTTAAGATAATAAAAGAAGAACTAGTAAATACAAATCTTGCTAAGGAAAGTTTTGAAAAAATAATAGAAGAAAAAAAAGATAAAAGATATAAATTAACTTATATGTTAGAAAGACGATTAAGAAAAAATTATGATGTCAATAAGTGAATATATGGAAAAATTAAAATTATTAATAAAAATGTGAATAAATGATGTTCAAGATTTAAGAAATGAAGTAAAAGAAACAAGAAATGATATAAATATATTACAATTTGAAATTAGAAAATTAAAAGAAAATAATAAAAATAAAGAAAAGAAAATAGATAAAAAATTTATAGAGAAAGAAATAACCGGAATAGGAAAGAAACATATTGAAAAAGAAAATATAATAATAAAAATAGGGAGTATGGATGATGAATTTAGAAAAAAAACATATTACCTAAAATATAAGAAGAAGAATCCAGAGAAAAAATGTTAGGAAAATTAAAAATAGAAGAAAATCAAGAAAATAAAGATGAATGAGGAATTAAATTTACTTATAGAAAATTTTGATCAATTAAGTTTAAGTAATATAAGTGAATACCAAGTTTTAATGAATACTGGAGGAGGATCTAATTCAATAGGAACTTCTAAACAAGAATTACAATATTCAGATGAAAGTTATGCACGTATATATATAATAAATCATATATACAATTTTATGATAAAGTAAGAGATAAACAATTACCTAAAGGAAATAAATATAGAGATATGTTTGAATTAAATGATAATTATGATAAACCTATTAACCATGGAGGAACAAAATTAGATTTAAATTGTAAAATAGATATTAAAAATACCTTATTAACTTGGGCATATTTAATGATATTTTTCTTTTTATACAATAAAGATGACACATGAGAAAATGCTGAAATAATAATAGATTTCTTAATAGTATCCTTTGAAAGAGATGTTAGAAATGGATGAAAATGAATAAGTAATGATACAAAAACATTAATAAAAGAAAATGTACAAACAGAAATAATAAAATCAGATAGATAAAATATAGAAAAGTTAGTAAAATATATTTCAGATGAATTTTTAGGAGAAAATTGGATAAAAAATGCTAAGGAAGAAGCAATAAGAGAAAAATATAATGCTAGAATCAAATTAATAAATTTAACAATATGTAATATGTGTAAAATTAAAGAATATACTTGTGAATTCAGAAATTATTATTATACTCAGTTTTATAGTAATGAAAATCAAGAAGTATACCAAGACATGTATTATAATAAATTACTAGGTTCATGGGAAATATATTTTAAAATAGAATTTGAAAAATATATCAAAGATAATAATGGAATGCTTGGAACTTTAGGTTGAAGAATAAAATTTTTTGTTTGAAAGACTTGCATATATATATATGTCAACAAAGACAATTATTGAAAAAAATCAGGAAATAACTAGAATATATTGTGAAGATATGGAAAATCCTATACAATAGGGATGTAATCCTGAAAGAATGGTTAATAAAAGAAAATATAAAAATAAAAAGTTTAAAAAATTTAAAAACTTTAATAAAAAATATATAAAATCTAGAAGAAGATATTATAAAAAAAATAACAACTCATATGATCAACAGAAAAATAAAAGTTATAAGAAAAATAAAAGTCAATGTAAATGTTGGAATTATGAGGAAATATGTCATATAAGCCCTGACTATGATAAAAAGAAAATTAAAATATTACAAAAACAATATTAGAAAATAAAAGATGAATTAAGTGAAATATCGGATATTGAACAATATTATAATCAAGAAGTATTTATAAGTGAAACAGAAAATGATGAATCAGGATCTGAATAAAGAAATAGAGGAAATAGAAAATAATAATATAAATATACAAGAATATGAATGAATAAAAGGTTATGGATTAAAAGTTACTTTTGATAATAATAAATTTAAGAAAATGCAAAAATTGTCTTTAAATTTAAAAATGGGAAAATGGGAAGTCTTTTTTACAAAATTTGGAAAAGAGAAAGAATAGCAATAAATGAATATCATAAAACACGCTTTCTATAAACAAAAAGCAAGAGGACAAACCATTAGCGGGCGCGCCCGAACTAGCTTAAACATCCTGCTTTCTGGAACCTCGACCAGTTATTAATGAAATTCCTTATCGACTTTCTGTAAAATATTCGTTTGGCCGAGGGCTTCTTCGTCGCTTCTTTCTAGTGACTAGCTTCTCAAGTGGGTGGCTTGGTAAGCAAGCTACCTTCAGAGAGAAAATAACGGCTTTTTAGGTGGGTTGAACACGCTCTTCGAGTCCCAGGTCGTTCTCTGCATCTTTTTTTCCTAGAAGTTGACTCTTCTAGAATCCTCTCGAAGAAGAGAGGGGTGCTCCTTGATAGCTATCGGTATACTCTGTTGTATCCCAAGCCAGCTTTGAGAAAACTATAGATGTAAAAAAACATATGGAAAACATAAATTAAATCTTTTAACAAAAAATACAGTTGAAGAACTATTAACAAGGATTAATAAAAAACAAAGTGAAAAAATTCAATACATTTATCTATCAGGAATACAGATAATGTTTAAATAATTATTCAGAGAAGGGATATACTCACCCTTAACTATAACCTTACATGATGGAAGAATAATAAATTTAAAAGATAGTTATTTAGGAACAATAGAAGAAAATTTAGCATATCAAAAAATAATGTTTACATGCTACCCAAAATATTGTATATCATTGAAAGATAGAAACTTTAATGAAGTTTTAGGTACATTTTAAGCTACATCGAGATGATATCATGTAACAAAGTGATCAAATTATGATTATAGAATATAGAACTTTATATACAATTACCAATTCTAATTATAAAAATAATTATTACAATAAACCACTTATTGAAGTACATAAAGAATGTAAGGATATTAGCAAACTAATAGAATCAAATAAACAAATTAGTTTAATTTCAGAAAAAAACACGAATTTAGTATAACAAGATATAAACCTGAAATAATAGAACTAAATGAATGAGAATGTTCTAATGATATAACATTTAAGGATGAAAAATTAATTAAAAGATCAAAAAGTCTTAGAATACCTAATAAAAATCAATCAGAAAAATTTAGTAATATAAGAGAAATAAAACTTTACAGAAATGCTGGATATATGAAAATAGAACGAGAATATTATAATGGAAGAGAATATATAAATGGACCAAATATATTAATAGATACAGGAGCTAGTAAATGCCATATAACTTTAATCATAAATAAAGGTCTAATAACTCATAAAATTGATCCATATAGATATGTAAATTTTGATGGACAAATACATATTTTAGAATTAGAAGTTAAAGTACCAATAAAAATAGGAGGAATAATCTTTTTTTTACCATGTTATATAGATAAGAGTATGGATATAAACCCTCATATACTTCTAGGAATGAGTTTTATGAATGGATTAGAAGATTATAGTAGAAAAGAGAATGATTATACATAGTCCATAATTGATAAACTATATTATGTAAAAAAAAAAAAAAACTAAATGAGTAATCAGATAAGTTTTTCATTAACTGTATATATACAAGTTACAATTATAGAAACAAATATAGCAACTTGTGCTTTAATAGACACAGGATGTGATATAACAATATTTAATTTTTTTTTGATAAAATCATGGAATAATAACAGTAATATAAAAATAACTGGAGTCATAGGAGAAAACACTCAAATAATTAATAGTGCTGATAAAGTTAATATATTTCTTGAAAGTAAATAAGTTACAATAAATAAAATATATAAATTAGAATGTGATATATTATTAGGAAATGACTTTATATAATAATTTCAATACTATAAACAAAATAATTATATGACAATGTTACAAACACCTTGTTCACACTTATTAAAAATTTCAAGAGAATTTAAACATTATAGAGATCAGTCAGCCCAGCGTGATGATAAATGGGCAAAAAAATCGATCATATATAATGAAATAAAAAATAAAAGAACATTGTATAAAAAAAAAATCCTAAAAATAGGAATAGAAATGAGTATAGAAAAAATTATT